TCATCTGCAGAAAGGGAGGCACATAATAATAGTGCATTCGTTAAAATTACTGCGGAACTTACAGCAGCCGTGATTTACCGGAGAGCTAGAATTATCGCAAGAAATACTGCTTCAAAGATGGACACATAATCTTCAAGGGGATGCGAGAAGGACCAATCTAGGGTGATAGACAAAATAACAATTCTACATGTTTCTTCATTTTGTGACGCATCATTCGATACGACTGCTTCTGTTGACGTATGTGTCTGGTAATCTCTTAATATTTCTTCTAAAAATGTGAGCCGCCTCAATTTTGAATTTTGCGGAAAGTCTTCCCACACTGTGGTCTTCCCACAGTCAACACCACGACGACTCTACGCAGTGGGCGTTCCCTGGCTGCCTGTGCGATGCCTGATCAAGACGAATACGAGGATTCTTCGGACACTACCCCACACCTCCACCAAAATGTTACGGGGAGAAGGCGTCTGAAAAATACCTTTACTTTTGGTAAACAGGCAGGCGCACAATATGGAACCTGGTCTGCACGAGCTCACCCTAAACATCGTCCTGATTTTTACAATGTTAATTTGTGGCATCCGGTAGCAATATTATCAAACTGTAATTTAACCGCATTTTGATAGTACAGATGAAAGGAATAGCGTTATTTCAAACGCCAGATTCTTCTTAAAAGCGCTGTATAATTAGAATTGCAAAAGGGTGATCCTGGTCACCTACTCACTGGCGTATAACCACTTCACGCATAATTCCACATCGTGGTCAGCCACTACATTGTTTATTGGCATGAAATTCTTTGCAAGTGTTTAGGGGATACCACGCTTCTAATGACGAAGGATAGCATAGTGAATCGCTGCCTACTACTTAGAAATTATGACCATTATTATAGTAGTAGGTATCCAGCAAGTTTGCTTGTCACAGAGACCTGAGGAGTGTATAGAAGAGGCTCTGAAAGGCCGCTTTTCTAGCTTTTGCTGTGACTACGCTTCACCTTCCGCGTAGACCTGGCGTTTATTATATGCAGTTTTGAAGATCATAGTGAAAAAAAAAATCTGGCATTTTCCAAACTACTCATGTTTCGCACCACTCCGTAGGGCGGGGCCGAGTTGTGCTCCAGGTGATCTTGTTGTGAGGAGAAGCTTTGCAGCAAGCGCGAGCAAATCGTGCTCCATTGACCTATGAAGCTTGCAGGTAACTAGAGTAGCTTTAAGATGGTGCGCGAATGCCAGCAGCTACGCACCCGTTACGAATATGAGACCATTTGTATCAGTAAATAAAACCAACCCACGAACGTCTGTCGATGTCCTAGACTGAGGTAAAACATCGTGGCTCTCAGGCCTTCAAGCAGAAGTTCTATCATGTGAAAGCATGTCGTCACTCGCTTCAGGTGCAGTTCCGCAAGAGTTTCGAGTGGCGCGTGTTTCGAGCGGTGCAGGTGCGCACTCCCGCACACATGACAACGACGACATCGGAATGACTAGCAACACTGGACGTTTCATTGCGTCTAATGTAGGAATAGAAGTAAAAACAAAACACCTTAAAAGGCCACCTCCACACGTTATGCATTTGTTGAGCCTTAAGAAATAATTTTTGGTAGAAGCATTCTTCCCCAATTTGACGCCACAGCACTCTGCTGAATACCCCAGCACACATATCATCCACTTATTACAGCTCAACAATGTGAGAATGCGAAGCTGACACCACAATTATGTATATGAAAGTGAAGGACCCTTTTAATTGAAGAACGTTGACGTTACGGCAGCGTAGCCATGAGCCGCATGCAATTCTCTGAATTCGATGAGCCAAGCGTATTTTCCCAGCAGCATACCCACAATGGTTCGCGCAATAGAATGTCAAAAATATCTATTTCGCCAAAACATATAATATCAAACTTATTGTAAATGTTCAGGTGTTGAAGCAACTGCTAAGAGGTGCTAGATGCACGAGAACCAATTTCAACATGCCAAGATTGATGTTTCAGGGCATCGATCACCAGTATTCAATTCGAGTAGGCGTGGTAATAAAACAGTTAGAGGGAAAATATATTTTTGACTGGTCGTATAATATTACAATCAACATTTATTAAACGTTCGAATGATTTGAAAAAGAATTTAGAGGCGTGTGCAGGTGGTGGCGCAACTATTTACGCGAAGACTACTGCGTCCCCTTGTAGGCGCGGTTATGTCTCTCCTCCTTATTTGTACCTCCACGTCCAGGTGAAGTGCATGTAGCTGTGGCCAATTTTTTTACGCTGGTCACCCACTGTCTCACAATACGCGGGTTCGATCCCGCCACAGCGGTCGCATTTATGCGGAGGTGAAATACTTAGAGCCCTATGCTTTGCACAATATAAGCGCACGTTGAAGCACCAGAGGTGGAATAAACAATGCGGAGCCTTTCTCTTCGGTGGCTCTCATAGCCTCAGTCACTTAGGAAATTATGCTCCGCCAACGGAAACATTGTACCTTTCGGCTGGTTTTTTCAGATGAATGCCACAATTTCTTCCAAACATGCACCGCAATGTCTAGCTCACTCTTGGTGCGACATCATCATTCTTACGACGTTCTTTTGCTCACGATTTGCCCTCCAATGAGTTGTATGCTAGTCTAATGTACAGAATTGAAAAATAGAAGGCTCACGCAGCCTACATTGCTTCGGGCAGGCACACAGATGTTCATTTTAATGCGGCGAGTTCTGCAGAATGCGTCTGACAGCAGCTGTCAGGAATTGTCAAGTGTGATGCGCTGGAATTCGACAAATGTAGTGGACACCTTGCTTTCACAGCGAAAGCTCTTATGAGAGCCACGACAAGCCCTCTTTTTTGGAGTCGTGCTAGCTCTTTGGCATCGCCGGTTTCCGTAACTCAGAAAAAAAAGAAAAAAAATAAGTAGCCGATGTTTTTTTTTCTAGGAATCAATGTAACAGGGAAGTGAAACGTGTCTGCACGGAGAAAGCTGAGAGCTCCTTATGCATAGTTTCGCCACAAGAGCGAAGGATTGACCTCAAGCACAAAAAACGCGCAAAAAGAACATACACCTCATCACCTCAGACGGACAATTATAACGGCTTTGCTGAAAGACGCACGAAACGAGCGCACATGTTTGCATAGTATGAGCAAAACCTGATTGAATTCTTTCGTGTTTTAGCAGCGTGCTCATTTTGTCAATGCGGCCGCGGCAGCGAGGAAATGACCTTCGTGCTTTCTTTAACTACTGTAACTTCAAAGAAAGCTTCAGGGGAAAGCACAAGGGGTACGAAGCGCCCGAACCACAAAATGAGCTTCAACCGTGAAGAACGCTGTGTAGAGGCGCGCGTGGTACGCGCGTAGCGACGACCTTGAGAGCGCATGTCGCGCAATGGCGCTACTGAAGACGAAAGCGTGCTGAAGTTGCTGGGCTCTGAGGACCATCAACGAAGTGTGGCGTATAAAAGTTTCTTGCCGTTAGCGCGCTGTCAAAGCTGCGCTTCGTTTCTGAATGCTTTTGCGCCACATGTTGCGGAGAGAGAGGTTGCAGGTTCGACGCCTGGCAATATCTCTTCTCGATTTTTTATTTTCAATAAATTAGTATGTATTTTACTACGTCAGCTGTTTTTCTGTTAGGGCACAGAAATATATCAGCATAGCTGCGGTGATTGCCAGCATAAACACTTTCGTGTAATAAAAAACGAAATAATTAACTTGTACAGGATGCAAGTGTGTTGGAACCCGGTTCGTCTTCATAGCAGCCTAGTGTTGTACCACAGAGCGATGTAGGTGCTCGACGGCTATGTGTAAAGAAGCTCTATACAGGCGCCATATCTAGTGCGAACCACGTGGACATATCGAATATAACGTTTTCGAGAATTAAAATAACAGCTAGGCGTCTTACAATGCCAATTGCGCAACCATGTTTCACAATATATGAATTTCGCGACGAGCGGTTCGTGAATGCTTCCAACGCATTACAAAGGCCTCAGCCATAATTATGGTTCATCAGACAGAGCATCAAAAATACGCATAATGCCCTGCAGATCCACTGTGGGTTGCTCGCTTCCCCATAGAATGGTGAGTAACGAAATATTGGTGCTTACCAACTTTACAAACTTAATAATTCATTGCGTAGTGGATACTTTGCAAGCGTACTTGTGTTAGCAGCTTCGAGAAAGTTAACCACGGGTTCTCACAGTGACTCACTCACTGTGACAGCATTGCGTTTTCTGAGCAGGCGTGGCATATTTTAACTATTGTTTTATTACTCTAAGGAGTGATAACACTGAGACATCTGTGAGTGATATTGCGGTTCTGTGGCGATTGATATCTGTCAGACGTTCGGTTGATATATGCATGAGTATAGCAATGTTGACGCAACACAAATCTCAATACTAATGGCGGAAATGCTTCTGTAAGATCGCATTGACTACACTTTTTTTGGGCCATGGTCTAGGCAATATTTTAAAATTTCTGTGCGGAAGACGACATACACACTTAGTGTTATTTTAGTCCTTATCATGTGAATTCGAGCTCTTGAGGTGCTAATATATTCTCTCTTTCATCGATAGGCTGCGTGATAAATAGTTGTGGTTACACTCAAAGAACGAAAGAGTCACTGCCTAAATTAGTAGGTAATTCCATGACAGATTTTTAGAGCCTGGTGTAAGAAGAACTATTTTCAAACTAATCGCTCAAGGTTGTAGTATGGAGCAACGTTCGTAATTTCGGGCTTTGAGTTAAGGTATTTGGCACTGTAATATTGTTACCTTCTTCTTTTCTAGAACTCACACACCTATCTTTTTTCTCTTGTTGCTTTCCTTTCATGTCATTCTGTGGCGTACTGTTGTGCGAGCTGGCAATGAAACTTGCTACGACGATTACCCTTAGCTTTCTCAACTTTTTTTCTGAAGCGCCTTTCCACCTAGCAAATCTATTTAGGGAATACTACCAAAGAGTTTTCTCATTTTGAAGCCTCAACCACATTAAACCACAGCGCTGATTTTTCAAAAAAATGTTCTCAGCAAAGTTTTCTTACCTTAAAAGCATCAGGAGCCTCATGAAGATGTTTGTGAAACGTCCAAAATGAACGAGCTGATGCAGAGAACAAGGAAAGGTGGAATGATGACAGTGTCAGCAGTAACACAGGGACCGAAGGAGACATAGTTATCCGAGACAGAATAACAGTCTGAAAAAAGGGCAAAAAAGTTTGCCGTTCCAGTTGCTAGCTGTTTCTCGTTTGCGAATTGGGGCAGTGCTGGTTCGCGCAGGAGAACCACCGTCTTTTTCGTGATCAGCGCCTCCACATTAATAATATAGCTACCGACTGCGAAAGCGACACGTACGCTGCATGTGCCATACGTGGACTCTAACTGCTCTCGCGTTGCCTCTTTATATTGCCGTTACAAGTGGCCAGCTGTCACGTTCCTAATCAGCTGTTCCTGTGCGGGAGCACACTATTTATTTGAAACTACTGACTTTTTTTTGGGTGACGGGTGGTAATATTTAATGCACTGCAAAATTTAGGAAATGGACATGTGATTACATCAGGTCAACTACATTATCTCGTGTGCTGCTGTGTCGGGAGGACAAAAATGAGACAGAAAGCTATCAACATCAAGGTTTCAAGACACTTAAAATAAAAATAACCACAACTAAAAAGCACCATAAAAGCAAGATGCCACGGCTCTCACACTGCAGCGTTGTTCGCGAATGTGTTTATAATAAAATATCTCTTCTGTCTCTCCCTCTCCACAATTATACATGTGACGTATTAGGCGATGGTTGGTAGAAGCAAATGAGGAAGTGAGAATAGATTAATAATATAATATAATAATATCTCTTTCTGTCTCTCCCTCTCCACAATTATACATGTGACGTATTAGGCGATGGTTGGTAGAAGCAAATGAGGAAGTGAGAATAGATTAAACATGGCGTATGAGCCAGGCCACGTCCCCCATTCATCTTAGCGTCACACGAGTCGACAGAATGGGGACCTGCCTGCCCCTTCATCAGTCGCTCATCAACTACGCAGTTCTCCGCATGACGCCATGGGCATACATGGACTTTCGTGCAAGCGCCTAGCATTACGCATCGACCAGCATCATGTCAGAAGCATATACTGACCTTCCCATTCCCAAGTACACCGGAGCAGCGGACGATGAACCTGTACAGGACTGGTTCAACCTGTTCGAGCTCCACGCTACCGCTACATCTTGATCGGAACGGGAGATGGTTACGAACTTCGGCGACTACGTCACCGATGAGGCATTTACGTTTTACCTCACCCACATAATAGACAACGCCTAGTCTTGGCAAAAGATAAAAGAAGAAATGATCGTCTGGTTTCAAGACTATAATGAAGATTCTATTAGAACACGCACTCTCAGTGCATTCGAACTCAGTCATCGCTGTCATAGGCAGCCTTCACACATTCGAGCACAGAGCATAAATTTACAATTCCCGTCCGGTGAAGTTAACCACATGCTCATAGAAAGACCACGCTGTTGTTTTCCCAACCTTTCACCTGGTTCTTTATCCACGCAAATATCGCCAATGCTTAACTATCCGCTGCATATAAGAATTGAATTCACTATTGATGACTCCGATGCATTGAATACTTCGTGCCGCATGCGTACTTTTCAAACTGACTTGCTATTCAGCTCAGCAGTTCCACAAAGACAAAAGCATTCACAATCAGCATCTTGTGAAGAGAAGTCTTTTGCAGAAGCATCTAGTGTTCAATAATCCCTAGATCGAAGCGACGTCAATTCAGTGCACAACCTCACTGCCAACACTGAAACCAAAAGCGTAGGTTCGACTTCTGATGACACAAGTACCTTTCAGGGAACGATCAGCAATGAGCGGTGTATGAATACAGAATGTTCAATTGCGCGAACCACCCCCCATTGTCTTGCGCTGAAACAGCTGCATTGGTTGGCATCGTAGAAGCCGGTGGAGGGCTTGCTAAGAATCCGGGCACACCACGATCAATGTCACACCACAAACAAGTCGACGAAACCAAGAATCTACAACGTCACCGTATTCTTCTTCATTATCAACGACGAAAGAAAACTTCATCGAAACCACTCTTAAGCCTCTAAGAACCTTGCGAAAAGGTCCCATCGTCGTGGATACATATTCCACCAGAGATCGAAAATGCGCCTTTGATCAAACTATCGTCGACATTGCTATAGAAAATCTCCAAAATCCACAAAAGCACCCCTTGTACTCGGCAGGAACACAGACAGCACCCAATCAACCTCGATCAGCGCGCACGCAAGCTGCCTGCACGGCCTGTGTATCACCGACGACGACGAATTCGATGCCTACAATATCGGAATCGTCGATTTTGCAAGATGTTCGAGCCTCGTTCGTTCTTCACAAGAATGCCAGCTGTGATTACCCTTATCTCCATGTCCGAAGCATTTTTGTGTTATCCACGACGCAACCACCAGCCTCGCCCACCAGAACTCCTGCGTTAACCGGACTGCTGTACTCTCCCCTGAAGTCTTTGAAAGTTACCGAACTCCCCTGGAGCATAGAAACAATTGTGATATTTGACATTTGTGACTTTTTAACCTCTCCTTGTTTACTTTTTCTAGTTCGTTATCTATGCCTGCTTCCGGGATGAGGGGGAATCGTCTGACGTATGAAGCGATGGTTGGTAGAAGCCGATGAAGAAGTGAGAATAGAATAAACACGGCGTATGAGCCATGCCACGTCTCCCATTCACATTCATCATAGCGTCATATATATATATAAGGGAAAGAAGTGTATACCTAAGGGCTCGTTTTTCCGTGTTTTAACACAATATTAATGAGATCTCACAGACAGTAATGCCAAGGATGACAGGGAAGTTGTTAAAACCAATGGAATGTAAATAGGAAGAAAGAAAGTGGATGAAAAATGACTAACTGTGAGCTGGAATCTAACCTACGACCTTGAAACCAAAGCGTAGGTGCGACTTCTGATGACACAAGTACCTTTCAGGCAACGACCAACAATGAGTGGTGTATGAATACGGAATGTTCAATTGCGCAAACCCCCCCCCCCCCCGCCCATTGTCTTGCGCTGAAACAGCTGCATTGGTTGGCATCGTAGAAGCCGGTGGAGGGCTTGCTAAGAATCCGGGCACACCACAAGCAAGTCGACGAAACCAAGAAACTACAACGTCACCGTATTCTTCGTCATTTATTATTTATTTATTTATTTATATAATACATACTGCAGACCACAGTTGTGGTCCTGGCAGGACGAGCAATTGAATAGCACAATAATACAAAAATAGCAAAAGGGACAAAAAATTAAACGGCGGACATTGCATTGTCAATCCAGCATACAATTAACAACACTAACAAAAAAATGGGGCTATACAGTATCTAATAAGTATGGCTCAGCAATGGAATTCCATTCAGCCACGGTACGCGGGAAAAATGAAAATTTGTAAGTATCGGTATTGCGCTTGGTATGTTGTTACCGATTTAGGGTTATGGTGCCGCGTGGGTTTTGTGGTCAGGGCGGATATATACAGGGAGGGGTCAATAGCCAATTCATGTTTAGAAAGTGAGCAGAGGAAATCGAGACGAAATTTTTGTCTTCTTAACTGAAGCTTGGGAATGTTATTGGCAATCATTAAATCAGAGGGAGAATCCGTGCAACGAAATTTTGAAAAAATGAACCTGACAGCTTTCCTCTGAATCTTTTCCGATTTATCGATGTTATTTTTGGTATACGGGTCCCATACTACAGCAGCATACTCAAGTTTTGGTCTAACGTATGAATGGTAGCAAAGACGTTTAACACTTGGAGGCGAATTACGAAGTTTGTGTCTCAAGAAACACAGTTTTTGAAAAGCGGAGGAGCAGATGTTTTCTATGTGCAAGTTCCAGGAAAGATTACTAGTGAACGTTACGCCTAAGTATTTGAAGCTGTTGACTTGGTTCACCGCGCATGATCCCAGTGTGTACTGAAATTGGAATGGAGATTTTTTGCGCGTTATGCGGAGGGAAACAGTTTTCTCTGCGTTGACAACCATGCCCCAATCCCTGCACCAACTGTATATATTGTCCAGGTTTGTGTTAAGTTCTATTTGATGTTGCATGCTGGAGATTTCACGGATTAAAATACAGCCATCTGCAAAGAGCCGGACATGAGTGGTGGGTGTAACTACAGTGACGATATCATTGATGTATAACAGAAAAAGCAACGGCCCCAGAACACTACCTTGAGGCACTCCGGATGTGACAGGACAGCTCGAGGCATGACCATCAATCAAGACATACTGCTCTCTATTCATCAGATACCTAGACACCCACGCTACCAAACTTTCGAGAAGATTTATATTTTTTAATTTTTGAATTAATTTGTCATGAGGAACTTTGTCAAATGCTTTGCTAAGATCAAGAAAAATTGTGTCTACCTGAACATCATTATCAAGGGCTTTTGCAAACTCGTGTGTGACGGTGACCAGTTGAGTCACAGTCGAATAGCCTTTCCTAAAACCATGTTGGAAGCTTGTTAGAATCGAGTGTCTTTCAAGGAATTCAAGAATACGGTTGGCTATGATATGTTCAATTAATTTGCAGCATGTTGAAGTTAAAGATATAGGACGGTAGTTATCCGGAATTAATCAATCCCCTTTTTTAAAGATAGGGATGACTCTATCAATTCTCCAGTCACGTGGTAGTGTTGCAGTTAACAGGGACGCTTGGAAGATTACAACAAGAAATTTGGCGACGCATTCAGCATAACGCCGAAGAAACATATTGGGAAGGTCATCAGGACCACAGCATTTTTTTGCTTTCAAGTTTAAAAGCATTGAAACCAAACCAGAATAAGAAATGAAATTCGCTTCACATGGTTCAAACAAAGACAATTCTGGTACACATATTGCTGAATTGGCAAACACGCTCTGAAAATAACTGTTGAAGTGATTTGCGATGTCTATGCGATTTGTAACCGTGCGCCCTTTGACAGAAATTGACGTCACTGGCTTTTTGTTATCGGATAGATAACTCCAGAACTTTGTTGGGTCGCTTTTAATAAAGTTTGGCATTAACGTTTTAAAGTAATGGCGGCCTTTCACTTCCACCATTTTTAGGGTTTTATATGAGAATTTCGAAGTAGGAGTGACAGTCAGCGCCATCTATGAGCCAAACGACAAGTGTGAAAACACTCTTATCTGCATGTTGGCGTCACGTAGCACGGGAACTTATTATGAGTGGGCAACTGATTAATGTCCCCCTCTATACAACCTAAACACACCAAGTCTGCCAGTACGAGACCCTCGTTCAATGAAATAAGAGAAAGAAGTGTATACCTAAGGGCTCGTTTTTCCGTGTTTTAACACATTATTAATGAGATCT